GCTGGCCTCAAACTCACAGAGATCTATTTGCCTCTGTCTCCCAAGTGCTGAAATTAAAGGCGTGCGCCACCACCACCTGGCTTCACCTACTACTTGTGCTGGTCAGATGTCTCCTGTCTTGCTTACTTATTGCTGCATTTGTACTTGATCAGCTGTCTTTGTCCTTCCCTTGGCTTTTTGCTTGACTTCCATGGCAGCTGCTCTGTCATTGCCTGTCTGCTGGTCTGCCCCTTCTGTAGTACTGCACCTTCTGCATATCCAGAACTAAGTTCATCCATCACTTTCCCTGCTGTATGCCCCCGTACTTGGTCATCCTTCTAACCTGTTGCATTGTTATCCACTTACATCTAACACATGGGCCTTGCCCACCTCCAACATCACATTAAGTCTTTAATTCTGTCAATTCTAACACCTGTCAATTCTTATTCTGCCCAAGACAGTCTTAACCTCCCCTAGTTCCTCTTTCTTTAATGGCTAGATTCCTTCTGAAGGCTTTGGTCAGTGACTCCCCTAACTTTACACTCAGCCAGTTGAACCTTGTTACAATCTTCTTGTTAACTGTTCTAAACTCTGTATTGTTCTGTATCCATTCCCTAACACTCTTATTGGTATCCCCCAATTGTTCACTTCTATGTCAGAACTCTTTATTATTGAGGAAAACCAAAAAATCTTTTGTTGTAGCAACAGTCCTTTGGTGATGTAATGGCTGCCTTGTCTTGCCTCATATACATTATATTTCCTTTGTGTCATCGTCTCAGACACTAGTCTGTTGTGTCCATGTTTGTACTGAGATCCTGCTTGATGCCTGTGTTGGAGTTGTGTACTTTGAGAATGACATGGCCATTGCCATCTTGAAATCTGAGCTGCTATTGTTACCCCTGGAATGTTCACCTAAAATACCAGTCACCACTCCCCTGTCCCAGATGCATATAATCCTGGCCCAACTACACATAGTCTTGTGGGATTTAAGAGTATACAGGAGATGGAAGTTTGGCTGAGGTTGAGATTTCCTGATTCATCACCAATGTCAGGAGTAGGGCTTATTCCCTGGTTCCCGCTGCCTAGTAGTCCCCCTTGCTCCTAGTCCACGTGTAAGCCTTTCTTTGGTCTGTTGGGTGGTCTGCAATCAGTAGGCGTTTCTGTGCTTCTTCCCAACTTGTTGTCACAGGTGGTACCAGACAAGTATTTTAAGCTTTGAATTTCTGACTGCCTACAAGCTGCCTGGTCCTTCTCTTGGCTAACCCGTGTGCTTCAAGTTTTGCTGAAAATACCTCTGTAGTTTTCACTTCCTTTACTTCATTTTAGTATTTATTGGCTACCTTTTTAGACAGGTTATAATAATTGAGGATTTGAATAGTTTATTTGTGCCTCACTGCAGGTTAATGAAGCCCTTGATAATAGTGTTCAATTCCCAGCACTCACATGGCAGCTCACAGCTATCTGTAACTCGACTTCCAGGGAATCTGATACTTTCATGCACATAAAATAAAGTTAAACAAATCATAAAAAAAATGAGCCGCTGCTCTGGGTCTGAGGAGCTGATACCGAATGGTGGTGAAGGAAGGCTCAGACGGGGCAGTCTGTCGTATTCAGCTCTGTGTTCTTGGAGGGCAGCAGATGAGCTGGCCTCCTGAATAGGAATGTCAGGGATAATTTCTCCATCTCTATATAATGATTAGGTTGGCAAACTCTAGTATGTTAAATATTTCACAAACTTATTTTTGTCTGTGTATGAAGGGATTGAAGAGAATTTTAATTTTTTTTTTTTTTTTTTTTTTTGGTTTTTCAAGACAGGGTTTCTCTGTATCTTTTTTGGAGCCTGTCCTGGAACTAGCTCTTGTAGACCAGGCTGGCCTCGAACTCCCAGAGATCCACCTGCCTCTGCCTCCCGAGTACTGGGATTAAAGGCGTGCGCCACCACCGCCTGGCTGAGAATTTTTAAAAATTTATGCTCAATAAAAGATGTCATATGTAAAAAAGAGTTGTTTATACACATAAGGCAACAATGGCCTAATATAGAATTATATGTTTTAGAAAAGCCAGAATCCTGAGAGAATTCAAGTTCATAATGGTTTATTTTATTTTTTCCCTTTATATGAGGTGTGTCTAAGCTGGTGACTGATGACCTTTCCTCAGTCACTCTCTGCTGTATTTGTTGAGGCAGGGTCTCTCAAATGAACAGACTCACCAATGTGACCAGTCTAGCTTGTCAGTTTGCTCTGGGAACCCACAAATCTCTGCCTCCTGAGTGCCGAAACTGCAGGTGGCCACTGCATTCACTTGCCATGTAGGTGGGTTCTGGGGATCAGAAACTCTGGTCCTCACAGTTGCGAAGCTTTATTTCATTGAGTCATCCCCCAGCTCTCCAATTATTTATTTAAAAACAACAACAAATACAAAAACTCGTAAATCATAAACTTTTGGAAATTTGAGTACATAATACCAAGCGAGCACACTTTGGGGGATGAATCATGAAATCTGTCCATTTCCTTAGTATATCAAATATAGTGGCACACACACTGTGTTTGTTCCCTTGTTTCTCCACATCCAAAGAGCCAGCCAAAATGTAGTCCTTACTCATTACAAAAACATTTCTAGCTTATTTTAAATTTTTTCTTATATATACATAAGATTGATCAATTATCAAAATTCAACAATTAAATAATAAAATAAACCCAGATGTCACTAATATGAACAAAAGTAATATGATAAAAGACCAAGGAAATTTTTTGGGGGGGGGACCCGAAACACCCATGGCTGTCATCTTGGTTTCTTTTCCTGTTGTGATTAGACAACCACCACCACCACACTACCCCTGAGGAAAGCAATTAAGCAAGGTTTATTCTGGCTCACAGACTGAGATTATAGCCCATTAAAATGGGGATGTCACAGCAGCAGGAGCTCCAGGCTGCAGCACGAATTCTCATTGTTCTTAATAATAAAAACCCAGAGTCAGATATAAGGGTTAATGCCGAAAGATCAGAGAAGCAGAGCACCGAGCCCCTAGAGAGTTCTTACCGCTACCAATGCTCAGACCAAAGGGGCAATCCTATCACTATGAATCCTTAGACTGCTGCTGTCTCTACAAAACCTCAGACAGCATCTCTATGATCTATAAATCCTCAGACTGAATCAGAGTTTCTGTCTCTTCCCGCCTTATAGTCTCTCTCCGCCCATCCATATCACTCCTATCTCTACCTCCCTAGTGCTGGGATTAAAGGCCTGTGATCCCAAGTACTGAGATCACCTGTGTGTGAGCTCTGTTTCTCTTTTAGACAGATTTAATCTCAGGTAGCCCATGGTGGCCTTGAACTCGTAGAGATCCCTCTGTCTCTGTCTTTTAAGTGCTGGGATTAAAGGTGTGCGCCACCACTGCCTGGCCTCTATGGCTAACTAGTGGCTTAGCTCTGCACTCTAATCTTCAGACAAGCTTTATTTGTTTGTTATAACACAAACAAAATGTCTCTACAGGGGCAGCTGATCACTGTACTCACAGGCAGGAAGTAGAGAGTGATGAATGCTTGTTCAGTTCACTTTCTCCTTTTCATACAGTTCAGAATCCTAGCCCTGGGAATGGTGCCACCCACAGCAAGGCGGTCTTCCATTCATTTAACCTAACCAAGATCATCCCTGATGGGCACACCAAAGGGTCCATCTTCTAGAGTCTAGATCTCATCACGTTGATAACAGAGATAACACCACAATTGTGCTTTTCCCAAGACTGACTATTTTCCAAATGCTCTTAAAATTCAAACTCAGCAGAGCAAACCTGACACATTTTCTATGGGTGTAAATGAAGGTCTGCTTTCCACTCTTCCTTTTTTCATTTTCCCTGGGATTTACTAGTGTGGCTTACAGGTTGTGGTCCTGGGGTAGACCAACAATAGCTGTCACTTGACAGAAAGGCCAAAAATCCTGTAATTGTCCAATCTATAAGACTGGATGTCTCAGCAGTCCCAGTCCAGTGCTAGAATCCTAGGATTCCTAAAGAGCTGTTGGTCTTCAATATATGTTAGAATCCCAAAGAAGTAGGTTCTAATACCAGCGAAGGAATGCCTCAGCAACAGGACAAATGAACTTGCCAGCAAGGGTAAGGGCAAGCAGATTTTATTTGATTCCAGATGTAATCAGGTTGACAACCAAGGTCAGTCATCACACACCTGTACCACCAAGCCATCTTGTTGGTCCCTACCTATTAATTTTGGATATAAATAGCATTTTAATGGTAAATAACATCAGTATATTTTTCTTCATATACTAAAGAACACATGCAATTTACTAGAATACAGTATTTGTTTATATGGGTTAGAGCAGTGATTCTCAACTTCCCTAATGCTGCAGCCCTTTAATATAGTTCGTTCCTCATGTGGTGACCCCCAACCATAAAAGTATTTTCATTGCTACGTCATTTTGTTAGGGTTACGGATTATAATATAAATATTTGTTTTCTGATGGTCTTAGATGCCCCAACTCAGTATTTTCATATGCCCTTTTTCACTCAGACAGTGGCTACCATATTAATTTAAACCACGGGAAAGTATGACTTGTAAATAAACTGGTTCTCAATTCTTTCTGTAGAACCTAGATCAGTATTGTACTGAGGTCCTGAGTAGATGAACTTAGGAAATGTAAAGACTACCTAGCTCTCATACATAGAGATACAGTCTAGTAGATGAACTTAGGAAATGTAAAGACTGCCTAGCTCTCATACATAGAGATACAGTCTAGCACTAGAATTTTCAAATGGTTTTTAAAGTGCAACCAAGGTTGAGAATTACACTTTAAAAGATATACTATTTAAATTTACTTTTATTTCTATGAAGACACAATTAATAGCTAAACTTCTGGGGCAAACAGCCTGTCGAGCTGTCAAAAGATCCTGTGTATGTATTTAAATAGCTAAGAAAGATGTTACCCAAAATAACTTGCTGTATTTTGACTCATTTGGACATAATTATAATAATGTAAGACTTCATCTCGTGTGTCTCCCTGTTTTCTAGGTCAGCATGGATTCCTGGTTCATTCTTGTTCTGTTTGGCAGTAGTCTAATACACGTCGGTGCCAACAATGCTACTACAGGTAAAAACTGCCTTCTGAGAAGACGCGAGGCATTTATTAATGCTTACTACTTTGTGTCTTAACTTTTGAGCTTCTCGTTCTTCATAAAATGTTTCTTTTTTTCTTTTTGGTGTTTGTAGTTTCACCTTCTTTAGAAATTACAAGATTAATTAAAACATCAACAACAGAATCAATTAAGGAGGAGAATAAAACTTCAAATCCAACCTCTTCAGTAATTTCTCTTTCTGTGGCACCAACATTCAGCCCCAATCTAACTCTGGAACCCACCTATGTAACTACTGTCAATTCTTCACACTCTGACAATGGGACCAAGAGAGCAGCAAGCACGGATTCTGGAGGCACTACTGTCTCACCCAATGGAACATGGCTTGATAATGTATTTACGGATTCCAGGACAGAACCCTGGGAGGGGAATTCCAGCACGGCAGCAACCACTCCAGAGACCTTCCCTCCTTCAGGTACCAGAGTTGCTTTCTGCTTGTTCATCTCACTCTGGGCTTATTTACCATTTTACTGTCTTTGTATATATTTTGTAGCCATAAACTTCTTGAAATATATGTTTGCAAAGAAAAATAGTGATACCTCAAGAAAGGGAATTTTTAAAGATTTCTTTTAATGTATGTGTCCGTGTACCTGTGTGTATGTGCCTGTGTCTATGTATGTTTGCATGCATTTACGTGCAACACGTGTATGCGGGTGCCCTCAGAGGCAAGAAGAGCGTCTTGGATCCCTTGGATTTGGAATTTCAGGTGGTTCTGAACTACCTGATGTGGGCACTGGGAATGAAGTCCATGTCCTCTGAAAGGACAGCAAGTGCTCTTAATAGAGCCATCCTGCCAGCCCTGTCCTGTAAGCATTTTTTTTTTTTTTTTGGTTTTTCGAGACACGGTTTCTTTGTAGCTTTGTAGCCTGTCCTGGAACTAGCTCTTGTAGACCAGGCTGGCCTCAAACTCACAGAGATCCGTCTGTCTCTGCCTCCCGAGTGCTGGGATTAGAGGCGTGCGCCACCAACACCCGGAAATTCTTAATACCTGGTTAGTGTAGCACTTTCTGGATACTATTTTTCTGATAGGTGAGATCCTATTAGATTGGTGAGGTCCATGTGTGTTTAAAGGTATTGAATAAAGAGAGGGGAGCTAGTGTATAACCAAAAGACTGAAAATGAAAAGCACAGACTGGGTAGTGAATTGGCCTTAAGAAGAAGCAGTCTATGGGGTCCGTGAGGAGAGAATGAAGATGGAAGTCCCATACGTAACACAGCAGTAGACTGTGGGTACACGAGAAAGGGGCTCACGGAGGCTTACATTTCAGAGCCATCTGTTCAGCCCAGGTCTCTGTCTCCTTGACTTTGAGTCACCAGACTTAAGCAGCAGTGGCTCAGAGGACAAGATCAGAACTCTGGGCTGAGATCAGCTTGGGTAGGGCAGGTTTCTGACTTAATGGACCAGGTTCCTGGTTTGTAGAAGACAAACAGAGGGTCCCTCAGAAAGCTTCTACATGGAGCAATAGCTCCAATTGCTGCATAATGGAAGGTTTTTTCCCCTAGCAAAATTGCTGTTCTCTCATCTATGATTGCATCCTCTTGGCTCAGATTTCTTGTCTGTTTCAGATTCCCTTAGTTGGATTCATGACTCATGGTGGGATTCCAAAAAGTGCTTTTGAAATTTAATCCTATTTGGTACTAAAAATGGTATCTTTCAATTAGACTTTATAGTGCAGACCCAATACCTGCCTGCTTCAATGTCATTGTTTCTGCAATAAAAGCAAGATAGCATTATTAGTTATAGTTAAGAACATAGTTTGCAAACCCACACTACTTGTTCCTGTTCAATCCCAGTTCTGCCATAAGCTCCTTTATGAGCATAGGTAAATTTACTTGATTGTATCTGTACCTCAATTTTTCACATATAAAATTAAAATGAATGATGGTAATAGCTCATACCCATAGAGAAGTTCTTTAATAAATTGATCTAAGATGGGCATAGTAGTGTACACCTTTAATCCTAACACTTGGAAGCAGGCAGATCTTTGTGCATTCAAGGCCAGCCTGATTGACAGACTGAGTTCCAGAACAGCCAGAGTGAGACCCTATCTTGAAAAAGAAAGATAAATAAATAAACTGATGTAAGTCAAATCCTTATTACAGTACTGTACATAGTGATAAGCAACCTTTTTTATGGTCAGCTGTTATAATTGTTACAACTTGTGCTTTGAGGGGGTTCCATAAATTACGTGGCCAGGCAAGGTGATATGTGGCTATAACACCAGCATATAGTAGGCTGATGCAGGAGCATTATAGTTCCAGAGCAGCCTCGGCTCTATAACCAGACCCTGTTTCAAAAAGGTCTTGGCCTAATATGCTCTCAGTGGAGGCACTTGCTTACTGTGCATGAAGCCCTGGATTTAGTCTACTACTGTTAAGTAAACAAATATAGAGTATAGGCAGATTTTTCTTTGGGCTGCTAGCTCACAAAAGAGCCCACATGGAGACTCACTATTAATTATAAAAGCTCAACCTTAGGGGCTGGAGAGATGGCTCAGCTGTTAAGAGCACCAGCTGCTCTTCCAGAGGTCCTGAGTTCAATTCCCAGCAACCACATGATGGCTCATGACCATCTACAACGGGATCTGATGCCCTCTTCTGACACTCAGGTGTACATGTGGAGTACTCATACATAAAAATTGAATAAAGTTTAAAAAAAAAAAAGCTCAACCTTAGCTTATGCTTGTTTCTAACCAGTTCTTATAACTTAACCCATATTTTTTCATCTACGTTCTTCCATGTGCTTGTTACCTCACCTCCATTTTGCCCATCTTACTTCCTCCTATCTGGCTGGCGGCTTCTTTCTTCTTACCAGAATGCTCTGTCCCCAAAAGTCCCACCTAACTTCTTTCTACCTAACTAAAGGTCATTCAGCTCTTTATTAAACCAGTCACAGTGACACATCTTCACACAATGTAAAGAAATATTCCACAACAATAGAGATGTGTTAAATGTCCATGACTGCCTCTATTCTTGATTAGATTGAGAACTGAAAACAATTTTGTTTTGAATGTTAAAGTACAGATTATGACCCATTCATAAAAATCTGTTTAATGGACTACCATCATTATTTTGTTTGTCTTAGTGACCCTATTCCATTTCTATTCATGTTATATGTGTGATATTTTGAAACTTTTCTTTGTTATGCACAAACATACATATGTATACTAAGTAACATCATAAAATGTCTTCTGTGAATTATAGCCATTGCTCAGGGCAGAAAGGCAAAATAACTTACACAGGCTGAAGGAATGAATATAGAAGGTAGAATTATAAAGTAAGCATAGTTGATTTCAAAGCATGGGTCTCACTCTGTACTGTTTTCCACTTAACAGTTCTTGAGATGACCATGGGTAATTATCTCCTGTTAGTGCATGATGAATTTAAGACTAATTAAGATATTAGACTTGGAAGTAGCAAAGTAGACGTATTTCTCACTTTTGTAGTTTTAACATATTAAGATTTTTCCCAACTTACATAAAATGTAATTTTAAACCTTTAAAAGGTGAAATGAGGGTTGCAGACATAGTTCAATGGGCAAAGCATGAGGACCTGAGTTCAGGTCCCCTGAATCCACATACACCCAGACATGGTGATTCCCATCCATAATCTCATTGCTCCTATGGCAAGATGGGGGGTAGAGACAGGAGAACTCCCAGAAGCTCACAGACCATTTAGCCTGGTATACACAATGCAGTGGCAAACAAGAGATCCTATCTCAAATAAGGTGGAAGGTGAGGACCTATGCTGTCTAATTTTATGTCATCTTGACACAGCTGAGAAAATGCCCCCACCCTGTAGTAATAAGGGCGGCAGGGCTGCGTCCCCATCACCCCGGCTGCCTAGCTAGCTTATGCCCAAAATAACAACACACAAACTGTATTCATTTAATCACTGCTTGACCCATTTCTATCTAGCCTCTTCTAGGCTAATTCTCACATATTAATTTAGCCCATTTCTAATCATCTGTGTAGCGCCCCTAGGTGCGCTTACGGGAAGATTCTAGCCTATGTCCATCCTGGGTCGGAGCTTCATCGCGTGCATCTGCCTGGGAGCTGGGAGCATGGCGTCTCCCTGAGGTGTGTGCTCCCGAGAGGAGAGCTGTGGAGTCTGAGTCCACTTCCTCTTCCTCCCAGCGTTCTGTTCTGTTTACTCCTCCCACCTATCTTCTAACCAATGAGGGCCAAGCAGTTTCTTTTATTTAACCAATGACCTTCCTCCATCACAACCCGATTGGCCTGTTGTTGTGGAGGGCCCTGCTCACTGTGTGTTACCACCACTGGGCTGGTGGTCCTGCCTTCTATAAGCATCTGAGCAAGCCATGGAGAACAAACGAGTAAGCAGCACTCCTGCATGGCTTCTGCCTCAGTTCCTGCCACCAGGTTCCTGGATGATGGACTACAAGCTATAAGCTGAAATAAACCCTTTCTTCCCCACGTTGATTTTGACTATGCTGTTGTATCATAGCAATAGAAACCTAAGATAGGACCTATGTCCAAGGCTGTCCTCTGACTCCACACGTGGTATTCATATGCCCCAACTCACATACATAACATGCATACAGACAAAAGGTGAAACAACACCTTTGTTATAAATTGAATTATCATATATGTATTTATTACTCTTATCATGTTCATGCATGTATATGATATATTGGTCATCTTCATACCCTTCTACCCCATCTTATTCTTCCTACCACTAGACTGATCTTCCTCTTCCTAGTGATTCCCCCTTCAGGCTTCATGTCTTTTTCTTAAGATTTGTTTTTTATGTATATGAGTGTTTTGCCTGCATGTATATTATATATGTATGTATATGTATGTGTGTACTGTGTGCAGGTATGATGCCCATGAAGGCCAGATTAGAGCATCAGATCCCTGGAACGTGGTTACAGATGATTGTGAGCTTCCATGTGTGCCGGGAGCTAAACCCAGCTCTCCAGTGCTCTTAATTACTCATCCACCTCTCTGGTTCCCTACTTTTCAAAAGGGTTTTTTTTTGTTTTTGCTTTTTACTTAATGCCCAAAAATTTTCATTAATTTTACTTACAGGAACATGTTTGAGGAGTTGTGATATGATTTAGGATTTTTTTTTCCATTGACGTTTATAAGTGGGTTTTTTTGTTTTTTTTTTTTTTCTATGTGAATTTGGTCTGTGTTTTTACTTTGCAAACATGATATTGTTGATGTGTTAGTTGCTAGTGTTTTTATTTTTCATTGAAAGAACATGAAAGTTTAAAGACAAAAAGAAAAAAATTTGAAAGTTTGCATAGCAAACTGCATTTTACTCATATTTCCGAATTCATCTCAGGAAAGGTTAATTTCCTGCATAGCTGTGAATAGTTCTCATTTTACCTATTTTCATCTCCCTTTTTCCCTCAGGGTTTAGTATTTCATAGTTTGTGTCTTTCCTTCCAAAAAAAAAAAAACCACTTTTTTTTAAATCAGTTCTATCACCTTAGCTTTTTGTGTGTGTGGGGGGGGGGTGTCAAAACAGGGTTTCTCTGTGTAATAGCCTTGGCTGTCCTGGAACTAGCTCTTGTAGACCAGACTGTCCTTGACCTCACAGAGACCCACCTCCTCTGCCTCCTGAGTGCTGGGATTAAAGAAGTGAGCCACCGCTGCCCCGCTCACTTTAGCTTTTTATTTTATTATTTTATCTTTTCTGCCTTGCATTAGGGTTATTTTGTGCTACCTATTCAAGTTTTTAAATTAAAGCTGAATTTTTTTTTATATTCCAGACTTCCTAATACTAGATAGGTTTCAACATGCTGCATGGGTATTCCTGTAGGTAACTGCTAGTTAGGGTGCTCACTAAGCTGCATTTCAGTTGTGGGCAGAAGGTTTCCTCATCAGGAACCATGGTGTCTCATGCTATGTAGCCCTGCCAACCTAATAACATTCTTCTTATCTGTGTGGTTATGTGTTCTCACCACTGAGAACAAAGGAAATAGAAGCAATTTCTTTTCCAGATTTTGTAACCCACACTTAACCCCTAGCTTTTGCTCACGTCTCATTAGCTGAACTGTATCATGGTCACACCTTGTCTTAGAAGCACAGTGTTTAACCAGACAGCTTTGTACTTGGTTAAAAAACACAAAGAGGTGTTTTTATTGTTTGTTTTTATTTTAATTTTCAAATTTTGTCTGTGTGAATTTCCACTTTTATTGTATACTGATGAGAGAATATTGTACTATTTGTTTTAGGGGGTCTGTTTACACTGTAGATATACCACAGGTTTCTTTAAAAATGTGTATATTAAAAAAACACATATGTTAAGCCAGGCTGTGGTGGTGCACACCTTTAATCCCAGCACTTGGGGAGGCAAAGGCAGGCCGATCTCTGTTCAAGGACAGCCTAGTCTACAGAGCAAGTTCCAGGACAGCCAGGACTGTTGCACAGAGAAATCCTGCCTTGAAAAAAACAAAAACAAACAAAGAAGTCACATGTTAGTTTATTGGTGCTGGTTGGAGCTGCCGCAGTGCAGGTATGATGGGGTCAGTTTGCCTTCTATTGTGTAGATTTTGAGGACTGAACTCAGGTTATCGGACTTTATGGCATTTGCCTTTGCCTGGTTAGCTATCTCACCAGTCCTTCGTAGTTTCTAAAAACAAGCTTTTCTCTATTAGTACGTGAAGTTGGGTATATATAAATTAGATTGGATTTTTGTTGTTGTTTTTGTTTTGTATTTTGGTTTGTTTGGTTTTAGTTTGGGTTGGTTGTTGTTTTTTTTTTCCTGCATCTTATTATGTGGATCTTTTATGTCTTTAAAACTTAAAATTTCAAAAACTGTCCTTGTAGCACTCGGGAGGCAGAGGCAGGCGGATCTCTGTGAGTTCGAGACCAGCCTGGTCTACAAGAGCTAGTTCCAGGACAGGCTCCAAAACCACAGAGAAACCCTGTCTCGAAAAACCAAAAAAAAAAAAAAAAAAAAAAATTGTCCTTTTACATTTCAAAAGTCATTATGTCTTCTGGTCGCTGATATTTGTGTTTTTCCTTGAATTACTATATTTTTAGTGAGTATTGGATGCTGACTGTGTGCATACTCAGGAGGAAGGAAGGAGACCACTGGTTAAAGCTGAGTAACCCTTGATAATCTTGTTCCCCATTTATGCAGTGTACTGAACGTGGAGAAAATAGCCTACATTCTTGGAGCTTTTTCTTTGTTTTTCCTTAAATTGAATGACAATGTTTTCCTTTAACCTGAGTAAATGTTTCTGTTTTTTACTTGTTACACAGGTAATTCTGACTCAAAAGACAGGAGAGGTGAGCCAGTCACCCTCTGTGTGTTGTCCTTTAAAAGATGTCTGCTGTCCAACCGTGTTTCTTCTGTGTGGGAACCTGGACATCCATGGCTGTGTTGTTTATTGTCCTTCAATGTTTCCATATTTACCTTAGAAAAGGATAAAGGAAACAAGCATTGTATTTTTATATAGATGACAGATTCAATGTATTCTATATATTTTTAAAATCTTATTTATGTATATGTTCTGCTGCATGTATGTCCCTGTATCACACATGTATTCCTGTTGCCCATAGAGGCAGTAAAAGTGCACCAGAATGGAGTCACAGGTGATTGTGAGCCCTCATGAGGGTGCTGGAAATCAGCTCATAGTCCTCATTAGTTGCTTAGCCGTTTCTCCAGCCCCTTTATGTATTTTAATCAACAACAACAACAACAAATTGTATATTTGTCATGTCTCCATACTAGTATTTTACTCTTTGGTGATATATTAGGACATAATTTGTTTTATGATTTTTTTATTTTGTATGTATGAGTGTTTTGCCATTGGTTAAGTGGGGGGTATTTATTGGCCGGCTCTTCTCAATTGTGATTTATTTTTCTCTCACAGTACATTTATTAATGTATGGAAATGTTTTTGATAGTCACAATCAGGATGTTGCTGCTGGCATCTAGTAGTGGAGGCCAGGGATGTTTTAAAGACCCTACAGTGCATATTTTAGACTACCACTACAAAATGTCTTGAATGTGAGGTTGAAAAACCTTGGTATAGATGGAAAGAACTTGGTGTATTGATAATGGTGAAGTAAAGTGGTGATACTATAGGGCTTGTGGAGTGGTCTCTTTAACAGGAACGTTATTGCTTTACTAAAATTTCAAAGCCCATGCAACCCAGAGTGGTGGCACATACCTTAATCTCAGTGTTCAGGAGGCATAGATAGGAGGACCTCAGTGAGTTTGAGGCCAGTATAGGCTACTTAGTGAGGCCCTGTCTTGAGAAAAAAGGAAGAACTATGTGTCATTTACATTTTGTTTTTGTATGTGTGTATTCTCAGTGAATAATGGATTTATTTATACAAGAATATGGTAATTTTTGCCAAATTTAATAGGAGAGGTTAAATATTTGATAACTTTTATCTCCCCACGTTTTTGTTGTTGTTTCATTTTTTGAGACAGGGTTTCTCTGCATAGCCCTGGCTGTTCTGACGCTTACTCTGTAGACAAGGCTGACCTTGAACTCAGAGATCCTCCTGCCTCTGCCTTCTGAGTACTAGAATTAACGGTGTGTGTCATCACTGCTGGGCTCCCTGCGTGTTTTTAAAACATAATACTATAAGATGAGCCCAGATTCCAACACAGCTCCCAAGAGTGAGTTCTTGCTTGTCTAAAATTATGATAGATATTTGCTGATCTTACATAGATTCAACAAGTCAAGGCAAGATCTTTATGGTCTTTGCACTGAGGCAAATACCCCCATTTAAAGCTGAACCCTTCTGCTCAACTTCTCAACTTGTGCCTTCTGAATCTCTGGATCTCTGGAGACATTGTACTCCACTAGGTTTAGGGTACTTGGGAAAGAGTATTCAGGGACACAGGCTTATACTTGAGAAGTGACATCTTGACTTTGTATTTTTTTTTTAAACACTTGCAACTTTCTATGATAAACTTCCTGTAAAGCACTATTCTCCAAACTAAGTTTGAGGAGGGGAGGCACAACAGCTTAGCCTGTGAGTACTCTGGTCTGACAAGCCAGGTCAGGATGGTCTTCACCCTTTCCTCTCTATCCCAACTGGCACAGCTTAAGTTGTTTCTAGCCCTAGACTAGTGAAACTAGTATTTAATTTTCAACTGGAAGGTTTTTGGCTCTGACTGGTCTCTTTAGTAGTGGATTCCTCTCTTTTGTCTTGAAATCCCTCAAAGTTCTAGCCTATAAATACTGCCCTTTGCTCCCCTCAGATATGTTCTTGTTTCATTAGTAGTTTTATATTTCTTCTATCTTTTTATATGTTTGAGGCACAGAGAAAGATAAATTTGTGGTCTAGAAATGTAGTGTAGTCAATTTTTCTTTGGGTCGCCAGCTCACAAATAATGACACATAGACTTATTAATTATGAAAGCCCAACCTATACCTTAGGCTTGTTCCTAACTAGTTCTTATAACTTAAATTAGCCCGTTTCTATTAATCTACATCCTGCCGTGTGGCTCATGACTGTTAACTGCATGTCCTGCTTCTGTGTCTGGCTAGCAATTCTGCCTCTCTTCTCTCCAGAATTCTCTCTCTGCCCAAAAGTTTCACCTAGCTATTGACTGTTCAGCTTTTTATTACACTAATCACAGCAATACATCTTCACACAGTGAACAAATATCCTACAACAGGGGCCGGAGAGATGGCTCAGAGGTTAAGAGCACTGACTGCTCTTCCAGAGGTCCTGAGTTCAATGCCCAGCAACCACAGGATGGCTCACACCCATCTATAATGAGATCTTGTGCCCTCTTCTGGCCTGCAGGCACACATGCAGACAGAACACTATACATAATAAATAGATAAATCTTTTTTTTTTTAAAAAAAAAGTATCCTATAACAATGTAGCTCATCTGATAGAGTGATGCTTAGTAACCTGGTTTGATCCATGCTTGCCAAGGTGATTTATGGCATAAAGGAGGAGTGCTCATTACCTGTAGTCAAGTAAGAAAATAACTACAAAGTATGAGAGGTCTTATCAAGGGAAATAATGTGTCTCTATGAGAAAATACAGACAGGACATGGTGCACACACCTCTGGCCTCAGCTACTTGGGACGCTAAGGCAGGCAAATTGCTTGAGTCCAGGAGTTCTAGGCTGTAATGCACTGTATCCATTGGGTGTGCATCGATGTGGTGACCTCCTGGGAGAAAAGCTGTTGAAGAACTTATTTCAGAAATGATAAATTTAGTATTAGGATGCCAGAGTAGACCTTCTGGGAAAAGTAATATTGCAAATCAAGACTTGATGAGTAGGTGAACTAGGCAAAGAATGGAGGGAGGCCACATGAATCAGAAAAGTAATTGTTCAGAAGCATAAGAATGAATGCCTTCAGCTTAAGGATGCCAGTGGTTAAAGGTTAGTTGAAGAGGAAGAGTGGCAGGAGGCAGTGCAGGTGGGAGCTACTTACAAGTTGTTGTAGACCAGGACAAGATTAGGCTTCATTCTAACAGCTGTGGCAGTCAAAGAAGAGACAGTAGAGGTCGGGCCTAGACTGTAACAACAGAGAGTGAGAAAGAGGCAGACATCTTTGATGTATTGATTTGTTGGGAAACAATAATCTAAGTGTCGCACAAAGAAACACAAAGTAAAAGTAAGCCCGCAGGAGAGTTTATTTTTGCAAAAAGAGTGTGCCTTGGCCCTAACTGGCGTAGCAAGCACACTCTTGGGCAAGACGTGCATTTAGTTTTTATTCTAACACAGGCAGTGACTGTGTCTCCTGATGGGAACTCACCCTTACAATTTGACATGATTGGCTGATCTATAGGAAGAGGAAGGGTGTGATAGTCAAGTCTCAGAAATGTCTAGTGATTGCACACGGACATGTAATGAGATGGAAAAGTTTTGTGGAATGATAACCCTTTCAGGGCCAGCTATTTTTGTAGGAAGAAAAAAAAATGTTTCTAAGGGGTTCTAGCCCTAAAAGAAACTGCTTGCAGCTGGGTCGGTTAGAGAAGGTATGCATGAAGAAGTCAAGGGGATTTCTCCATTTCTTCCTTGAGCAGCAGGAGGATTGGAATGCCAGCTGCTGAATGGTAAAAGCATCTGTAATGCAGAAAATTGATGTTGCTTATGAAGGCTGTGAAGTTGAAAGTGGAGGTGGCCAGTAGGTAGTTGAGAACCAAGCAATGCAAATATGGGAATTTCTGTCACTATTTGAAATTATAGGCGTCTGATCAGATAGTCGATTGAAAATAAGAAAGTGTCCCAGGATACAATGCTGAAAAGTGTCTGCAGTCACAGAGCACTGCTGTTGTAAAAGGAACAACCCGGCAAAGGAGACAAATGAAACAGCCAGGGGACTTCATCATAGGGAGAAAATGCTTCTAGGAGGAGGGAACGATCATCCAGTGTGAATGGTCGTTTTAAGATGGGCATCACATACAGCAATGTTTGAAATTTACCATCAATAGAAAAATATACTAGTTCCAGGACAGGAACCAAAAAAGCTACGGAGAAACCCTGTCTCGAAAATAAAAAAAAAAAAAAAAAGAAAGAAAGAAAAATATGGTAGACATTTCCTATCCCTTTAGGCTGGGATGGTGGTGTTTGCCTCCAATCCCAGACTTGGGAGATAGAATGAGGGTTGTGAACTCTGGGCTGTACAGTGATAACTACTTCCAGTCACACACACCCCTCCGCACCCCACTCCCCCAAAAAAACCCTCCACATTTCTCTCCATACTATTCCTTTTATTTGCATATATACCCTGATGTAAAAGTCCTCATAAAATGAGAGGGTGTGCTCCTCTCCCCTCTCTCTATCCTTCTTTCATTCCATTTAGGCTTTCTTACCCAAACTCAAAAGAAATTACCCCAAAAACTCACCAGTAGCTGTCACCTGGGTAAGCCAGTTTCATTTCTGTTTTCATCTTACCCTGTTTGAATTCATTTCTCCTTTGTTGGAGACTGCTTTTGGTTTTCTGCTAGATGACTTCCTACCTAGTGGCTGCTGCAATTCCTGAGTCAGTTTAGCAGAACTTTTAAACAAAGGAGAATTCAGTTATGTCCTTTCTGTTTTAGTCGTCCAATAATATTCTGAATTAAAGCCACACTTGCTGCCATGGCCTATAACTTAAGTTTTCTGGCTCCTGCCTATCTCTCCAGTTACAGCTTGTATCACTCTGGCCTTTGTGCTGTTTTTTGAGCCTGCCAAACTCCTTACCAGCTGGTGAATCAGATGAAATTATGACTGTTTCTGTTAGATTTGGTTGCTGTTTGTTGGTCCTTGCTGAGCGGCTTCAGTGGAGCACTAAGTAGGAGTCAGTATAAACGTGTCAGGAGAATCTAAGGGAGGAAATGGAGAACAGCAGTGGTGTGAGAAGGTAGCTGAGACAGAGGATAAGTGAGGTCAAGAAGATAAAATGTTTGAGATGACAGCAGTGGACATAGTCCAGAGACCACCTGGCAGGATTGGCCTTTGCATAAAAGGGGCATACCCTCACAAAAAGCAAAGAAACTCAGGTGGGTTGTGTGGTTTGTAATATGGAGTAAAAGGGGAGTTCTGACCTGGCCTGCTGCATGAGAAATGTGGCTAGGTACTGAGCTCGGGCCTGTGGAATGGAGGGAAGGCTTGACGCTCTACTCTAGCCAGACTCTGTTGTGGTTGGCATCCTGGCAAAGGGCAGCTGAGGAAAGAAGATACCGAAAGTGGTAGAGGGGATAGGAAGTACATGGCAGTTTTGATGCATGGTGCATGTGGATCCAGCAGCATTTCCTTATTTAATCATACTCCCTGTGCCAGGAAACCACTAGGGTTTATGACAGAACAATCTTTTTTCTTCCTTCTCCTGTTTTTTTTCTCTAGGCGGAGCTCATTGAGACTGGGATGTAGTGTGATGTCGGGCCTACGTTCCTGACCTGCCAGTATTTGTATCTCTGAATCTTTGGGTGCTTTTTGTATGCTAAGTTTTGTTTGAGCTCAGATGATATAGCAATGAAAGAGTCTCTGACTTAAAAGACAATTTTTATCCCAATACAGTTATCCCAGTGCAGGAAGTCGTACAGTAAATAAATGCATGGTATATCAAAGACAGGTGGGACCCTACCTCATCCCCTACCCAATGGCCCTAATGTGGCAGCGGGTATTCTTTTCTCGTACACGCTAGCACATGTATTTGCTCCTTGCTCTTTAGTGTGCATTTCTGTACACAGCCCCTCTGTTTCTCATTTTGTCCTCTTGATCTCTGTGTGTGTGTGTGTGTGTGTGTGTGTGTGTGTGTGTGTGTGTGTGTGTGGTTTCACATCCTACCATCTGCAGAAATCTTTAATGGGTGGTATTCCCCCTCCCCCGCATCGGTGTGTCTTCCTGAGCTTCCAACTTGAGCCCTTCATTGCATAACACAATTATCACCTGTTCTTTTCTCTTGGTTTCAGATGAGACACCAATTATTGCAGTGATGGTGGCCCTGTCCTCTCTGCTAGTAATCGTTTTTATTATCATAGTTCTGTACATGTTAAGGTAAGTATGTTAATGTTACTTCATTTGCTTAGAATATCCTGATAACCCCTGTGTCTCAGTAAGCCCACACAGTTAAGAAGACAGTAGGCTAAGGACAATGTGTAGGGTAAAGGGACGGTGACTCGTGCTAGTGCTTATATTAAAGTACTACTTAGAAACAGTTTCTAAACTGCAGTCTTCCTTAAGACCTAGGTGCTCTCCCTTTGCTAACTGTCCAGACCAAGTCTCCTAATTCTAGCTGAGGCTAAAGCCTAGAGTAGAGCCATGGTTTAGAGATGAAGACTTGGGTACTATCTTATCAGTGACAGGTGTTTGAAGATCTTCAGCTCTGTCCTTTGAAACAACCTCTTAAAAGGCCTCTAGTAAGATTATATGCACACAAAAAACTTACTTTGTTTCTAGCTGAAGCTTTGTCTCCAAACCTCTCAAGGACCTCTGGTCTTTGTCTAGTAGGCAGATCTGAGGGGTTAAAATATTCCTCTGCCTGACCTCTCAGAAGCTTCTAGATAATGAACAGAAGCTAGGAGGGAACCTAAGCGAAAAAAGAATGTGGTTCATTTGTGCTCTTCCTTATGACGATACTGCCCTGATGACCTGGGTTTAACTCTGCTTTATCTTGAACCCAGCCTGCTCTGTGTTCACTTACTCTGGAGCTCTGGGTTTCTCCCCATGACTCCTAGACTGCTCTAAGAAAATACCAGGATTTTTGTTTCATAAAGATCTTATTATCCCATCCTGTCCCACCCATTCTACCGTAACCCATTCTACCATGCTCTTACACACACACACACACACACACACACACACACACACACACCACTATATTACACTTATCTGTTATGGCTGAGCACTCAAGTGTGTGATGGAGCTGAAGCTACTCAGAGGAATCAGGCGGGTCAGAATATAGTGTGTCTCTGCTGGACTTTCGGATGCTGAGTGTAAGGAAGACCATCCCAAGGTGCTTGGTCAGCACAAGGAGCTGCCTCAGACATGCCTGACTTGTGTCTCTTTTTTAAAAAGTTTGATTTGACAGAGAGATTTAGAAAGGTGTAGTCAATAATGGGAATACAAAGACAGTGATTTACCTCTTTGCTTAGTTTTTCATGATAGATATTCTCTCATTAGGTTTAAGAAATACAAGCAAGCTGGAAGCCATTCCAATTCTTTCCGACTGTCAAATGGCCGCACAGAGGATGTGGGTAAGGCACGGGGAACGTCTGAAGAAGAAAAGCAAGAAATGAACATTTCTCCCATCCTGTTTTATTTATTTTATTTGTGTGTATATATATACACAATGCAATTGTGTGTTTGTGGAGATCAGAGACCAACTCGCAAGAGCTGGTTCTCTCCTTCCATCATGTGGATTCTGGGCATCCAGTTGAGTCCTTCAGACTTGCTGACAAACACCTTTTACCGATGGAGACATATCCCTGTCTCTTTTTCCCCATCTTTTTAAAAGAATGAGACCATTAGTCTCCACAAAGGGACTGCGTCTATCTCCAGGACACCTAATTTACCTTCCCTCTTATACTGCAGAGCCCCAGAGTGTACCACTTCTGGCCAGGTCCCCAAGCACCAACAGGAAGTACCCACCACTGCCTGTGGACAAGCTGGAAGAGGAGATTAACCGAAGAATGGCTGATGACAATAAGCTCTTCAGAGAGGAATTCAACGTGAGTCCTTTGTTGTTAAAAAAGTGGAAGGGAGACCTGAGGTCTGGTCTTTGGAGTCATGAGATATAAAATAGATTTCTAATGGATAATGGGTGAGAAATGCTTTTTACCAGGTTCATCTTGCTCCTTTCCTGTATAATTATGGGAAGTTTTTAAAAGAAAGAAATTGCTTCACCTCCCTCATCCTCCCATCCGTTCATTACTGATTAGTTCACTCATCGTCATGTCTAGTAACTCATTTGTTTAATACTTACAAGCTTCTCATAGGTACCAAGAAATAGTCTAGGTGCCATGGATATAATACGGAGCAAAAAAAGAAATCCCAATCCCAGTTTCAAAGAAATCTCCGCCCTCTCAGGAAATTCTATTTATAAGAATAAAACTGTCTATAAAGCCAAGCAATTCAAGCCGTAGTCTGTAGCGGGGATCTGGACTGTTATATAGCAGGGAATAGGAGTGGATTGATGTAAAAAGTAGTGGCTACAGCGGAATGCCGAGTATTGAGATTGTGTTTTCATGTCTCTCAGGGAAGCAGAATGAGCATCAACCAGCATCTGGTGATCCTGGGTCAGAAGTTTCCTTTCTGAGTGTGCAGCTCAGTGGTAGCTTACCTAGCATGTGCAGGCCCTAGGTTCATTCCTTGGTACTACCGATTTACAGTCATGTATTCCCAACCACTTGGGAGGCTGAGGCAGGAAGGCCACAGGTTGAAGGCCAGCCGGACACCTTAGTAAGCTGCTGTCTCAGTGGAGTCTGTAGCTAGTATTTAAGCACAGTTTCCTTGAAGAAGCAAGGAGAGTAGAGAAAGTGAAGTGAGGCGACAGAAGTAGCAGGAGCAAGCATCTGGGTGAGAGGAGGCATATTCAGAAGATTTTTAAAGGGCTGCACGGCAAAAGAGCACTGCTGTCTAGGTACTTCCTTCTAACTGACCTGTTCCGTCGTGAGGAGAGGAGAAAAGATCATTAAGACTCAGGAAGCCCAGCTGCCTGTTCTCCTCGAGAGAGCTCCAGAGAGGCACCTGAGTGGTCAATCTTGTGCTGGGGTGAGCTCTTCGGTGTTTCAGCTGCATTCAAGCCATCCATATTACCACTCAGTGAACTTACTGGTTCACTCTATGTCTTTGGTACCCTATCTGGCATGAGTAGACGTTCATTCATGTCTTCCAAAGAAAAGTCCTATAACAGGGAGTAGTAGGGGAAAAACTGAGAAAAGGCTAGTACACACCACTCAGCTGAGTGAAGCAGAAACCTGTGAACCAACCAGATTTGTATTTTGAAAAAACAAACAAAACGATTCTGTTTGCTATCTGGAAAACAAACTGAGGGGCCAGGTTAGGATCCGGGAATGCAGCTAGTCTGCAACATTTGTTACAACTAGTAGTAGCTTTAATAATTATCACTTTAGATAATTATTAAAGAGAGGGAATAGATTTAAGGACAGAGAAGAGTAGTTCCAAGACTGTTGGCTTCCCTGGCCTTTTTGCTATGTGTCATCTTATAGGTAGGCTCCTCTCATAATGCCAAAATGACTATCCCAGTTCTAGGCATAATATGGAGGTACAGTCAGGTCCACTGGAAGAAGGATGACTGTTTTAAGTTTCTGGAGATGTCTTTTGCCACATGCTCCTTCTTAAAGTAGTCTTGGGTAGGGGAGAGTTCCTGCAGCTGCCTAAGGTCAGTGCAGATTATCTTTGATTCAAGCATATAACCCCACAGGGGACTTCAGAGTCAAAGAGGAAAAGAGGCTGGGGATCTGGCTCACTCTGTAGAATGTTTGCCATTCAGGTCTGAGGACCTGAGTTTAGATTCTCACCTGTGTGAAAAACTGTTACTGTACTCCTTTAATCCCAGAGCTAGGAAGGTGAAGACCTCCTGGAGCTCCCTGGCTGACTGGTCTAGTTGCTGTTTCAAATTAAGAAAATAAAAAAAATAAATAAATAAAGAGTGATTGAGAAAGACACTCATTATCCTCTTCTGGCTTCCACATGCGCACACATACATCATACACAGGACAAAAAGTGGAAAAGTGGCCATTTAGGTGGTCATATCAACCTCTTATAACTGCTCCACCACTGAAGGGCTTAGGTTCAGATTTATATCTTCAGAAAAATCCCTGGCTTCAATGTAAGTAGAAAGGAGCAAAGACCTAAAGCCCACATTCATTTACCAAGTAAGAGTTAATAGAGTAATCCAGACCTCTTATTTTGTTTTAAACCATTGGGAAAAGAGCACCATTTAACACTCATTATTGAGAACATTTGGCACATCCCACCAGACAGCCTCACAGATGGGACTGTGGTAGACATTGTACTGTTCTGTAATTTGTAACACCGACTGCTTCTGGATGATGGTGTGTGCGATCCTATTGACATACTTCTTTGTAAAATTAATTCTTTTTGGAAATAATATCCCCTGAGACACCATAATAAAACATTCTGGTAAATCCTTAGAGAGAAGTCCTAAAGGCATGATAGACATATGAGAGAGAGAGAGAGAGAGAGAGAGAGAGAGAGAAATAGCCATTGGCTAGCATGTTCACGAGCTCATCAGGCCAATAGTACTGGGATAGCAAGGGAGCGTAAACATTGTTAGAACCTAATCTCCAGTGAGATGGTGTGATAGCATACTTAAAGTTCTCTTTGCTGGGAGAATTTCTCCTTACATTCATTTAGAGCTGTCAGTGAAGTATATACTCTCCAGCAGTCTACTTCTGTCCGTCTTGGACAAACACAACACAAGAGTCAACTATACACCAGAGCAGATTCTTTTTCTCTTAGTCATCTCTTGATATCAACAAGAAGTCATAAATGTCTTTTGAAGGAGAAGGACCTGTGGTATGTGGCAGGTCTTCTGTGTACGTTGCTTCTATCTATGGTGGACTCTACAGGGTATATCCAAATTTATAACTTATGAATCACATAACAACTAATTTATGACAGGAAGCTACCTGTATCAAATAAATAGTTTCCACTCTGATGCTCAGTCCTAAGCTATGAGTGTGGTCTTGCAGACAAGACTGTGTACTTTCTCCTTTATGAGGTTTTTTTTTTTTTTATCTTAACGGCCATATTCAACCTTGCTATACATGTTTTAGAGTCCCACAGAACCTGCTAGGACCAGTTTTGCCTCAGCCTAGATCAGTTCTTTGCTGATCACTCAGTAACTAGATCAGAGAAGGATAGCCAGCATCTACTGCATCCTTTCTCCAAGATTCAAAATGGCCAAACAAGTATTGCTCCCTTACTGGGGGAGAGATGGTGAGGATAAGGAACAAGAGCTCATCCTTTATGTCAGAGAAGGTAACCTGGCATGTCTACAGCTTTGACTTTCAGAAAACTTGGCTTAAGTCACAAGCCCACTGCGGGTTTTGCTTTGTTCTGTTCTGCTTTTCTGTTCACCGTGCATATCTGAAATCCATAACTTCCTGTTCTGTCAGCTTGGCATCATTAGTGTGATGGTCAGGTTAAGGTCCTATGAGACAAAATATGTGACCACAGCGTAGGTAGATCAGGGCTATTTACCACTGTGACCACTCTTTTCCTGAAAGGGGAAAACAGCTTCAAATAATGTGTTCAACTTTAAAAGAGCATATAAAAAGATTAATCCCATTGATACAGGATTCCAGCTCCTTCAACATTCCAGTAGTGGGGGTTCTACATTAGGAAGGAAAGTTGCTGGAAAGCCAGCTGTTAAGTCTGCAGCTCCAGCTGATAACTGACTCGGTTTATCATAATCTAGTATTGATTTGATTTACTTTCTTACTGTATAGCCCAGGCTGTCCTGAAATTTCCTCTTTAGCCCAGTCTACCCAGGAACTCCAGATCTTTCTGCCTCAGCTTCCTGAGTTCTAGCAGGGCTGGAAGTGCTAGGATATAGGCATGCACCATCACACCCAGTTCCTGTGGACCTGGTCAAAGACCATGAGACCTTTGTGTTAGTCGTTTGGTACTCTCTCTCTCTTTTTCTTTCTTTCATCTTGCACCCAAGATACAGCTGTGTTTTCCAGACTGGCCTCAAACTCCTAGTTTCAGAAGGTTTTTCTATCTTGGTAGCTAGGACTACAGCATATATAGTTCTGTATACTGTAGGATACATAGTAGCCAGATGTCCTACAAACTTTTAAATCTTCTGTAGCACTTACATCCCTGCTTATGTAGGGACTTAGGCTTTAGTAGGCCAGCGCTACTGGAGCTTACATTGGCTTTCTCTGTAATCATCTTTATCTAGTAGGTAGGGAATTCATGTGGATATGCTGCTGTAATAGGTATCTACTAGTGTAGGCCAGTGCAGGCCAGAACGTCTTCCTTTACCTGGCCTAAAAATGCTCCATTGTAAATAACATAAATAACATATCACAGTGAAATTCTGGATTCCCAGAAATTAGTTATCTTAAGTCCAGAGACCAGTATCTCCTAAAAGATGTATTTCCCTTTGCCAGTGTGAGTCACCAAGGGAAATGTGATGTAAATTCTTAAGATGGAGAGGGTCACAGTATATGAATGTGGATGAGCTTAGTCAAGGTTTGTCCTAGCAGCTTCCTGGCTGTGCTCTAATTGAAGGGATAAAATAGCCTAAGCTTTTAATCCTAGCACTATGGAGGCAGAGGCAGGTGGATCTCTGTGCGTTTGAGACTGGGCCAGCCTGGTCTACAGAATTAGTTCCAGGACAGCCAAGACTACACAGAGAAACTCTGTCTCCAGGAGGAAAAAATACCTAAGCTTAGGTGTCAGGTGAAAAGTGGCATTTTCTCTAGCAGAGTAGGTCCGCTGCAGTGACTTGAGCTAGCTGCCTCCTATTTCCCAGTGTTTTTTTCACCAGTGTGTACAGCAGGACTATGCTATAGATCCTATGAGGGACATAGTGAAGATGTCATTATTTTCCTGGCTTAAAAAGTAGGAAGTTAGCACTCGGGGGGCAGAGGATCTCTGAGTTCAAGGACAACCTGGTCGACAAAGAAAGTTCCAGGACAGCCAAAGCTATTACACAGAGAAACTCTGTCTT